TGATGAACAATTATGATGACATCACTGTTACTCACCTCAGCTCCACTACATCTGATCACAAGCCTATCCTCCTCCAATGTCTTCAAAATCAGAGTTATGGTCCCAAACCTTTCAGATTCCAAAACATGTGGATGAATCACAATAATTTTCTACAAGTTATTTCTGATTTTTGGAAATCTAGGTCCTATTTGGGAGGCATGCATGGGCTAGCTTCTAAACTTAAAGGACTGAAAGCTGTGCTTAAAGAGTGGAATCTCAAATCCTTTGGTAATATTCAAGAGAAAATACAAGATGCAGAAAGGTTGGCAACTTATGCCCAAGAATGCTTTGAAGCTGACCAATCTGATTTCAACAGGGCCAACTATAATAAGGCTAAAGCTGAGATCATTATGGCTACTGACAATGAGTTCAACTTCTGGAAACAGAAAGCAAACTTAAAGTGGATGGAGGAGGGTGACTCTAACACTAAATTCTTTCATGCCTATGTCAAAGGAAGAAGAACCAAGTCCATGATCAGAGTTATTGAAGATTCTAATGGTAAACCTATTACCAATATTGAAGTGATTAAAAAGATGGCCATTGAGCACTTTTTCAATCAATTCAATAACAAAAAGTCAGTTTCAATGTCCCCTATTCTGGCCTACATTACCCCTACCATTACAGAGGAAGACAACAACCTTCTCACAATGATTCCTAGTGATGAAGAGATTAAAAATACAGTTTGGAGCCTCAGCCCAAATAGTGCACCAGGGCCTGATGGGTACAATGGCCACTTCTTTAAATTTTGCTGGGAAATCATTCATAAGGATGTCATTAGTGCAACCCGGGAATTCTTCCTTGGGGTCCCTGTTCCTATCAGCTATGGTAGCACTTTCATCAGTCTTATTCCCAAAATTAATGATTCAAAAAACTTTTGTGATTATAGGCCTATCTCTCTTTCAACTTTTATGAGCAAGATCAACACTAAGATCCTGGCCACTAGACTCCAAAAAATTCTTCATAAGGTGGTTTCAGTTGAACAAACAGGATTTCAAACTCTTAAAGGGGTTGAGGAACAAATCTTACTCACTGAAGAAATGGTACACAGGATTGACAACAACACTAGGAGTGGCAACTTGGTGATCAAACTAGACATGGCTAAGGCTTTTGATAATATGGAATGGGAGTATATCAGTAATATGCTCAGACAAATGGGGTTCTCTGCATTTGTCACTACCCTTCTTTTAGCAAATCTTGAAGCTTCTCACCTCTCAATCTTAATAAATGGGAGTCCATGTGGTTTTTTCAAGATGATGAGGGGTG